TCTGTGTGTGTGTCTGTGTGTGTGTGTGTGTGTGTGTGTGTGTGAATTGGTGCGTGTTAGAGAGCAATTACCCCACACAGAGAGCATGTAAACAATTTCCAACATTATATCGTTTATAACTTTTCTTAGCTTATATTTCTATGTATTTGCATGTATATTTGCATGTTCTATGTATGTAAGTCGGAAACTTTCACTTTAACTTAAATGACTTGGGGCCAGATTTACTAAAGAGGGCGAATTAGCCTGAGAGTGCAATTCCAAAAAAACGCTAATGGGAGTGGAAATTTCTGCGGGTGATTTACTGACAATGCACAAATTAAAAAACACAGACGCAGCCAGATCATTTCCATAATGACCAACACAATCTACCAAGCGCAGCGCTTTTTTTGGGGGATGTTAAATAATGGCTCAAATACCAGTAATTTGACAAGCGCAGAAGTTAGTAAATCGCGTTGCGTGATTAATTTTAATACTCTCCTCCCAGAAATTTTGAGTCTGAAAGGGAAACTCCTACAAATGCATATTCAATAAGGTCAGGCGCAAAAATAACTGTCCACGCCTTTCCAGCGCTATTTCGTCACTGCGCGTCTTTAGTAAATACTGACAGTACTGTTTTAACACCAAAAGATGGTTTGCGCTGGCGCAAGCTGTTAGTAAAACTGGCCCTAAGTATTTTTGCAGGTGGCCCGGCTCGTTATAGTCCGGTATCTCCACGTGAGCCGGCGCTAGCGACGCCGAGGTGGCAGTCATGGCCACGGTCGACACGGCCTGCAGGTCGCCGAACAGCCCCTGCTCGCCCGAGTCCAGGACTTGTCGGTGGGACACGCTCTCTTTTCTCTTCGCAGGCATCTCGTAGTGCACCCGCTTCCAGAACTTGGACTGGAGCTGGCTGCTCTTGGGCCCGTACCACTTGATGAGCGACAGCACTCGGATGGTGTGCTTGAGGTCCTCCAGCTCCTGGTAGTTGATGACGCTGCACAGGTCCGAGCATTCGATGGTCCTCAATGTACGCTAGAGACACAGAGAGAGACGGTGACTATGGATGTCACAAAGCAGCAGACACAGACGCTTCAGAAATCATCTGCATTTAGAGCTTTCTGTTGTTCATGCAAAGCAAAGACAACTAAATGCAGGATGTGCAGTGTTGGGGTAAGGCACTACAAGTAACGCCATTTAAGTAATCAGATTACTTTTTTCCAAGTAAGTAGTAAAGAAACCCATTACTTTTTAATTTACTGACTGACAACTCTCCTGCCTGCATGTTGAGAGAAATCAGGAGTAAGTGCAGAGCGTTGTGTGTGAACATGATCTTACTGTAGTTCTAGACTAAATATGAACATGTGTTTACTCATCTCACTGTACAAAAACAGATGCAGCGTTCCTCAAAATCAATAAAACTCAGAATATGATGCAAACCTGCAATAATTAAATATGTTAAAAAACACAAATATTCTTTATGTATTTAATCCCATTTTATTAAACAATGTCTCAATGCTGCTGAACTTCGACGATCCAATTCAACTGCACTAATACGCAGAAATTACTTTAGATAAACATTACATTTGTGTTTCTATTTTTATGATTGAGAAGAAAGTGCTGAACTTTCTTCTCTTGCCTCTTTTTCTTCATGCAGTCAGGAAAGGCAGCACAGCTAAAACACGAGTGTTTACTATTGTCATTTTGCATTATTGACACACTTATTCTTATTTAATACTGTTCAGTTGCTTTGACACAATCTGTATTGTTAAAATCACTATATAAATAAAGGTGACTTGACTTGACTTGACTAAAAGGTTTGTTTGAGCTTTTTGAATTTACATTTCCTTCAGCCTGAGACTCATTCATTTCACGTTTGGTGTGAAAGTGCTTTTACATTGGCCAGAAATATACATTTTTATATTAAAAACAAGCAACCCCAGGTGAGAAAAAAGTAATGCAAAAGTAACGTAATGCATTACTTTCCATAAAAAGTAAGTAATGCAATTAATTACTTTTTGTAGGGAGTAACGCAATATTGTAATGCATTACTTTCTGCAACACTGGGGTGTATTTAGGGGTTCGTCCTGCTCCATTTGTGACACAGACATGCATGATGAAACCTCCAGTTCAACTTTTCTACAAGACCTGGCTTTAGATCTCTCTCTGATGGACAAAGAAACAGGCAAAACAATACCATATGTTATGACTTGTGATAAATGAGGGACCTAAACTATACTGTATCTGGGTGTATTGGTAAACAACCCACAGCAGCAGGAGTCCAGAACATCCTTAGACAGCATTGTGCTAAAAACACCTTAATGCATAGCAATGCTCCATCAAGAACACTCAAGCAACCGCACAGAAACAGTCTATCATAACCGCATGGCAACACCTCAGCAGCTGTATCTCACACACCCATCATCCGCCCACAACACTCCAGCCCTGAGCTCATGAGTTCTGAATGCATCACAAGCTGAAGATGGGATTATGGGGCCAATAACATCAATGAATTAATCTATGAATTTATTAATAAAAAAAACAACAATAAAGCAATACATACAATTACTTAAATTCACCTCTTTTGTGATGAGCATGTTTTAAATTACTGATCTGCATTTAAGGGGCCATAAAAGAAGCCTTTCTCTTTTCTCCTGGTGTTGGTGTGGGTTTCCTCCTGTTCAACAGAATCTGTTTCATCTTCATCAGACTGCGCTGAGTAACAACACATCCAACATTCCTGGGGGAGTTTCTGCATCTTACAGAAAGGAGATGACATGCTCCCTACAGAGGAGTTTTTCATGTTTAATATTCCCACACATGCTGAATGTGGGAAAACACTGCACTGCTGCTCAGGGTAAAGGATAGAGGATCCTGGATGCTGCTAAATAATGCAGAAGGATTCAATGGTTTACACCAGCTGATCAAACTAAGAATGTTCATATTTCGCACAGCTCTCTGAAATATTTGATTATTATTGGTCACTTCATTCTTCATTAAAGTGTTTACATGCATGTTTATTGTGATTAAAATCTGTATACACCATATAAGATGATTAAGACAATTAGAAGTTTATTTGCATCAACGTACTGTACAACGGTTGACATATTGTGTTTACATGCATTGAAGTTTAATCGCAGTATTGCCTAAACGTCCTTATGAGGGTGCATATTAACATAGCCATTGATCCACATTACTGTTGTTATATATTTTTCTGTTCAGCTATTTTCTCTCTCTTCCACAGTTCTCAAGCTACTGTGGCCATTTTGTCTTGTTGTGTTAAATGTATCTCAACTCTTCATATTGTTTATAGCAATCCTTCATCATCATCTGAGAAGCGCATCGCTCACAGGAAGTGAATGGCACTCTCTCTTCCTGTTTCACATGACTCTCTGTTTGCTGCAGATGTCACACATCCCTGTGCATGTGACTGTGGACTAATCACAAGCTCAGGATCTGCCACAAGTTGACAAAAATGTATAATGCGGGTAGTGGTACTGATCAAACCGAGTTGGATTTGTTTTTTGTTTTGTCAAAGCAAAACCAATACTGGAATCCTGAGTTTGTTCAATTTGCATTTGTGGAGCAGGCCTATCTGTGATTATTTGGCAACATTATCCCTTACACATCTTTCCAGCACTCTAGAATTGATTATATGATGAATGTAGAGCTGCAGGAACCAAGCAGAGCACATCCCTAATACTACGCTGGACATGCACCGATCAAACACATTCATGAACTGAGAGAGAGTCGGTTATTTGATTCAGATTAGAAATACACATCATCAACACTGAGCACTCAAACATGAGCTGTCTTCTGCTGTGTGTTTTGCTGACTGTAAGTGTGTGAACATCAGGTGTTGCTCTTACTGCTGCTGGGAATGAGGTCCCGGTGCGGGATGAAGAGTTTATATCCGTAGTGTTTCTCCAGAACGTCCGGTAAGATCTCCAGAGCGAACAGCTCCTCCTCGCTCATCTCACGCTCCACCGACTCCAGGTCCACTTTGGTGTAGGTCAGATAGGCGTCATATTCCTTGTTGTCTGTAAGGAACAGATATGTTGTATTGCACAGGTCAATTCTTTCATCATATTACACATTAAATTATGATTATAAAATGGTCAATACAATAACACTGTCACATTTATGGTCGGTTTTGTTTTTGTTTTCTGTGTTTCCGTTATTCCTGCCTAGTTAGTTTCCATGGTTTTTGATTAATTAGCTCCACACCTGTTTATGCCAACCCTTGCTATGTGTGTTTTCCTGTTTCCCTGGATGTAATTAAAGACTGTATGTTTGAATTGGACTCTGCGTCTCCTCGTTCCTTGCTCCGTGCTCCTCACAGTAACATACCGTGACAGAATAGCAGACCGAAACAATAAGTAAGCGGCGCCCCTTCTCCCCGTGTTTTTGTTTTAAAAGTCTTTTAGTTTTTCCTTGTGTTCGTCCCGCGGCATGGAGATAGCCGCTCGCTTCTCAGCCCTAGCCCACAGAGATCTCCCCTTTGTGGAATATGCGTGGGAGTTCTGCGGGATCGCCATGAAAATGGCGCTGGATGACGCAATGCTCAACTCGCTGTTCTGGATCGGGGCAAATTACCATCGCCCCGTGGACCTCCAAGATACCACTGGACTAAGCTGGAGGGAAGGGATCCTCCGGTGTCTGGAGAGCATCCAGCCCCGATCCAGAACCAGCTCGATGTCAAGCCCGCCGGCCGCCGCTGACTCAAGCCCGCCGGCCACCACTGACTTGGCACTCTTGGACATGGGCTACCTCCAGATTTCTCTGCTCCTATCCTCACCCCAGAATCCGCTCCAGAAAGTTCTCCTTCGTCTCCGCTGGTCCCGTGCAGCTCTCCATCGTCTCCTGAGTCTCCTTCGCCTATGCTGGTTCCGTCCAGCCCTCCTTCGTCTCCTGAGTCCCCCGAGTTAGCCAGCCCTGCTCCTCCAGAGTGCCCTCCAGTACCTGCTCCTCCAGAGCGCCCTCCAGTGCCCGCTCCTCCAGAGCTCCCCCCAGAATTCCTAATTTTCCCCAAGAAAGAAGGTGGCTGAGCCGGCTAAGGTCACAGAGGATCCGCCATGGCCTCCTGAGTCCCCTGCTCTGCCATGGCCCCCTGAGCTACCAGCTCCAGCATGGCAACCTGAACTGCCTGCTCCGCCTTGGCCTCCTGAGTCCCCTGCTCTGCCATGGCCCCCTGAGCTACCAGCTCCACCATGGCAACCTGAACTGCCTGCTCTGCCATGGCTCCCGGAGCTACCAGCTCCGCCACGGCAACCTGAACTGCCTGCTCCGCCATGGCTCCTGGAGCTCCCTGATCCGCCCTGGAGGCCTTGCCGTGTCCTTGTCTTGCACCAGCCTCCAGGGCGCCCATGCCAATGTCACGTTTATGGTCGGTTTTGTTTTAGTTTTCTGTGTTTCCATTATTCCTGCCTAGTTAGTTTCCATGGTTTTTGATTAATTAGCTCCACACCTGTTTATGTCAACCCTTGCTATGTGTGCTTTCCGGTTTCCCTGGGTGTAATTAAAGACTGTATGTTTGAATTGGACTCTGCATCTCCTCGTTCCTCGCTCCATGCTCCTCAAAGTATCAAACCGTGACAAACACAGTCTCATGACAATTTGTAACTATTTTACATTTTAGCAAATGCATATACATTTGTACAGTCTCATTTGTGTGTCCTGCTCATGCTCCACTGGGGCTTTGGTTTAGGGATGCAGCTTCATGCTTACAGATTTGTTTTTCAACTGCTTACACACGTTTTCAAAACTTTGCCTCTTTTTTTTTTTTTTACTTTACACACAAATCCAAAAATTGCAAACACAAATTGTTAATGCCTCACATCTCTTGCAAAATGAAGCACTGAATGCAAAATATCACAAACACATCTCAAAAGCAAACATTTGCAAACACCTTTGCCATAATATTATATTTTTGGATATATCATATACACAGTTAGTCAAAACATAAAGCTTTTCTTCATGAGCTCCTATTTACATTTCTGTACAAGATTTAAAGTAATTGGCAGAGGGATGTTGATAAATTCACATTAAACACGAAAGCAAGATTGAAACCAAACTTTTTTTACTGTAAGCATTTGTGGTTGTGAATACAGTATTACACAGTACCAAAGAAAATAAACACATCAAGCACGTGAGGATTTAGTGTGAGGCACTAATGAATTAGTGTGTCATTCTGATTGGTTGTGTTTGAAAAAGGAAATCAAGATACTTCCTGTTAGATTCTTGTGTGTTACATCATGCCTTTCCATCCGTGTGTTTCTGGTTGCAGTTGGCACATCTCCAAAGATGACCAGCACGAGCGTTGTATTCAGTGTTTGGGTCGTGCTCACGCTGAGGCAGCGCTTGTGGATGGTTTGTGCCCCGCTTGCGAGGCACTTCCCATCAGCACGTTGTGCTCGCGGCTTCGGTTCTTCGTCAAAAGACCCCGAGTCACCGCGGCTGCTTGCCGCTCTGGTCCTTCTACCTCTGGGTATGAGCACAGTGATGTGCGCCATGGAAGAGCATGGGGAAGCGGGATCAGTTTTGCCGGAGCAATCCCCGCGAGCTTCCCGTTCTTCCCTTGCTTCGCTTTTACCGGTCGAGTTTCCGGATGAGTTTGAGAGCTCGTCCCTGGGTGGACTCAATCTTTCATTTAGGGCTCACGAACAGGACAAGCTGTCATTCGCAGTATCGGAGGGTGGGCCTGAGCCATCGGAAGTAGATGATTTGGCTGAGCAAGCACCTACAGGCGCTGAGCCTCAGTCCGAGGCTGACGCTGAGTTTTACTTTACACACAAATCCAAGAATTGCACACACAAATTGCTAAATGCCTCACATCTCTTGCAAAATGAAGCACTGAATGCAAAATATCACAAACACATCTCAAAAGCAAACATTTGCAAACACCTTTGCCATAATATTATATTTTTGGATATATATCATATACACATAGTTATTCAAAACCCAAAGCTCTTCTTTCATGAGCTCCTGTGTACATTTCTGTACAAGACTGAAAGAAATTGGCAGAGAGATGTTGAAAATTTCATATACACAGTTAGTCAAAACATAAAGCTTTTCTTCATGAGCTCCTATTTACATTTCTGTACAAGATTTAAAGTAATTGGCAGAGGGATGTTGATAAATTCACATTAAACACGAAAGCAAGATTGAAACCAAACTTTTTTTACTGTAAGCATTTGTGGTTGTGAATACAGTATTACACAGTACCAAAGAAAATAAACACATCAAGCACGTGAGGATTTAGTGTGAGGCACTAATGAATTAGTGTGTCATTCTGATTGGTTGTGTTTGAAAAAGGAAATCAAGATACTTCCTGTTAGATTCTTGTGTGTTACATCATGCCTTTCCATCCGTGTGTTTCTGGTTGCAGTTGGCACATCTCCAAAGATGACCAGCACGAGCGTTGTATTCAGTGTTTGGGTCGTGCTCACGCTGAGGCAGCGCTTGTGGATGGTTTGTGCCCCGCTTGCGAGGCACTTCCCATCAGCACGTTGTGCTCGCGGCTTCGGTTCTTCGTCAAAAGACCCCGAGTCACCGCGGCTGCTTGCCGCTCTGGTCCTTCTACCTCTGGGTATGAGCACAGTGATGTGCGCCATGGAAGAGCATGGGGAAGCGGGATCAGTTTTGCCGGAGCAATCCCCGCGAGCTTCCCGTTCTTCCCTTGCTTCGCTTTTACCGGTCGAGTTTCCGGATGAGTTTGAGAGCTCGTCCCTGGGTGGACTCAATCTTTCATTTAGGGCTCACGAACAGGACAAGCTGTCATTCGCAGTATCGGAGGGTGGGCCTGAGCCATCGGAAGTAGATGATTTGGCTGAGCAAGCACCTACAGGCGCTGAGCCTCAGTCCGAGGCTGACGCTGAGATGGCAGCCGTGCTTGCCCGGGCAGCCAAGAGCATCGGGCTGGAGTGGTCTCCCCCACCCTGCCCCGAGCACTCGCGGCTGGACAATTGGCTTCTGGATGCTAAGCGCGACACTAAGCAGGGCTCGGCCCCAGTGCCTTTCTTCCAGGAAGTGCACGAGGAGCTGACGTAATCGTGGAAGGCCCCTTTTTCGGCCAGAGCACGGTACACCGGCTCCTCTGCCCTCACCACCCTCGATGGGGGTCCATCAAGGGTGTATACGGAGGTTCCCCAGTTGGAGAGAGCGATTGCGGTGCATCTTTGCCCGCAAAACGCCGCCACCTGGCAGGGCCGCCCGAGACTCCCATCCAGGGCCTGTACGTTCTCTTCGTCCCTGGTGGCGAAGGCTTATTCGGCTTCTGGACAAGCTGCGTCCGCCCTGCATGTCATGGCCATCCTGCAGGTCTATCAGGCCAAGGCGTTGAAAGAACTGGACGAGGGTGTTCCCAACCCAGAGGTACTGCAGGAACTGCGCTCGGCGACTGACTATGCTTTCCGGGCTACGAAGGTCACGGCGCAGGCTCTGGGGAGGGCGATGTCCACTTTAGTGATCCAGAACCGCCACCTGTGGCTCAACACATCCTGCCTCAGCGTGGGTCAGGTCCTGCTCCTGCACCCTCGAGTCAGCAGCCCCCGTCTGCTCGTCACCGGGAATGGCCCCCTGCGAGGACTGCTGAGGCCCCGCAACAGCCCGGGCCTTCAGTCAAGCCTGACCAACGGCCCACCACTCGCAGGAAGGTGGCACTGCCAGCTCGTCATCAGGGCACCAGGAACCCTTGTAAGGCTTCAAAGTGTTCCTGAGATGGGCGACCCAGGGAGGAGGGACCATTTGGCCAGCCTGGATCCACTTCTGGCGGGGGATGGGAGGTGAATTCGGCTCCACCACAACATTCCTTTGAGACCGTTGGCAGGGTATCTGGATGCTTGGTCAAGCCTCTCCAATCCCTCCCGATGGCTCATCAGAACCATAGTGCTCGGCTATTCGATTCAGTTCGCCAGGCGCCCGCCCAAGTTCAGGGGCATTAGGTTTACCTCAGTACGAGGCGAGAATGCCGCTGTTCTTAGAGCAGAGGTTGCAACCCTTGTCGAGAAGGGTGCAATCGAGCCTGTCCCCCTGGCCGAAACGAAGAAGAGATTTTACAGCCCATACTTCATTGTACCCAAGAAGGGTGGGGGGCTCAGACCAATCCTGCATTTGAGGACTCTGAACCGGGCCCTTCACAAGCTTCCGTTCAGAATGTTAACCCTCAAGCACATATTATCATGTGTCAGAGATCAGGATTGGTTTGTGGCAATAGACCTGAAGGGTGTGTACTTTCATGTCTCAATCCTACCAAGGCACAGGCCGTTTCTTCGGTTTGCCTTCGAAGGATGGGCATATCAGTACAAAGTTCTTCCTTTCGGGCTGTCCCTGTCTCCTCGTGTCTTTATGAAGATCGCGGAGGCTGCCCTTGCTCCCAGTACAAGGTTCTTCCCTTCGAGCTGTCCCTGTCTCTTCGGGTCTTTACGAAGATCGCTGAGGCTGCCCTTGCCCCTCTCAGGAAAGTGGGCATTCGCATTCTCAATTACTTCGATGACTGGTTGATCCTAGCTCACTCGCGAGAATTCTTTGCGCACACAGGGACATGGTGCTCGACCACCTAGCCCGAATGGGACTTCGTGTCAACTGGGAAAAGAGCAAACTCTCCCCTGTGCAGAGTATCTGTTTTCTCGGAGTAGAATAGGACTCGGTTATGATGACTGCACGCCTCTCTCAGGATCGTGCTCAGTCAGTGCTCAAATGCTTGAGGGCTCTCAAGCAGAGAACGGCGGTCCCTCTCAAAAACTTTCAGTCTCCTGGGGCATATGGCGTCCTCTGCCGCGGTCATGCCGCTGGGACTGATGCATATGAGACCACTTCAGCACTGGCTTCGTACCTGAGTCCCGAGATTGGCATGGTGCCACGGCTCACATCGTGTGAACATCACACCATTGTGTCGCCGTACCTTCAGTCATTGAGAGGACATCTCTTTTCTATGGGCAGGAGTGCCCTTTGAACAGGTGTCCAGATGCATCGTTGTTACAACAGATACTTCCAAGACAAGTTGGGGTGCCGTGTGCAACGGGCGGGCAGCATCAGGGGTCTGGACAGGCCCTCGGCTGCACTGGCATATCAATTGCCTAGAGCTGTTGACTGTGCTTTTGGCCTTGAGGAGGTTTCGACCATTGATCCAAGGCAAGCACGTGTTGGTCCGGACGGACAACACAGCGACGGTTGCATACATCAACCACCAGGGTGGTGTTTGCTCCCATCGCATGTCACAACTCGCCCGCCATCTCTTACTTTGCCAGCACAAACTCAGGTCTCTGCATGCCACTCATATCCCGGACGACCTCAATCGTGTAGCGGATCTCCTCTCTTGACAGGTCTCGCTCAGAGGCAAGTGGAGGCTTCACCCCCAGATGGTTCAGCTGATTTGGAGTTGGTTCAGCCAGCCACAGGTGGACCTGTTTGCTTTGTTGGAATCGACCCACTGCCAGTTGTGGTACTCCCTGACCGAGGCTCCCCTCGGCACAGACGCACTGGCTCACAGCTGGCCCAGGGGCCTACTCAAGTATGCGTTTCCCCCAGTGAGCCTCATTGCATAGACACTGTGCAAAGTCAGGGAAGACGGAGAACAGCTCCTGCTTGAGACCCCTTATTGGCCCAACAGGACCTGGTTCTCGGAGCTCGTGCTCATGGCATCAGTTCCTCCCTGGCAAATTCAAAGGGCACAATTTGGCATCCGCGTCCAGATCTCTGGAACCTTCATGTTTGGTCCCTGGACGCGACCAGAAGGAACTTAGAGACCTTTCACCAGCCGTGGTGAATACCATTACTCAGGCCAGAGCCCCCTCGACGAGGCGGTTGTACGACCTGAAGTGGCGTTCTTCCCAGGGGAAGGACCCTCGGAGATGTGGAATCGGATCTGTGCTCTCCTTCCTCCAAGGAGGTCTGGACAGGCACCTGTCTGCTTCTACACTTAAGGTGTACGTGGCCGCGATTGAGGCTAACCACGACACCGTGGGAGGCAGATCGGTGGGGAGGCATGATCTGGTTATCAGGTTCCTCAAAGGCGCCCGGAGGTTGAACCCTCCGAGGCCACGTCTCATTCCCTCTTGAGATCTCACTGTGGTCTTGCAGGCCTTACAGAGAGATCTGTTTGAGCCCCTTCAGTCAGTTGAGTTCAGTGCCCTCTCCATGAAGACGGCCCTCCTGACTGCCCTTACTTCTGTCAAGAGGGTGGGGGATCTCCAAGCCCTCTCCGTTAACAAATCATGTCTGGAGTTCTGGCCAGCAGACTCTCACATTGTCCTGAGACCCTGGCCTGAATATGTGCCCAAGGTTCTCACCACTCCTTTCAGGGACCAGGTGATAACATTGCAAGCTATCCCCTTCCAGGAAGGGGACCCCGACCTGTCTCTGTTGTGCCCAGTGCGAGCCCTACGCACATACCTAGATCGCACTTCTGAACAGCTCTTTATCTGCTTCGGAGGACAGCAGAAGTGGAATGCTCTCTCCAAACTGAGGATCGCCCACTGGACTGTGGATGCGATCTGAACGGCCTATCAGACCAGAGGCCTACATTGCCCACTGGGAGTGAGAGCTCACTCTACCAGGGGCATGGCTGCATCAGCAGCCCTAGCGAACGGGGCCTCTCTAGCAGATATCTGTAGAGCTGCAGGTTGGGCTATGCCTAATACATTTGCTAGATTTTATAATCTGCGAATGGAACCAGTTTCTTCTAGAGTCCTGTACGTCAGTTCTTAGACTGGCAGGGTGTAGAGCTTGCTACCAGCGCCACTCCCCCCAGGGTGGTTATGCGCTTGTTCAGTCCAGCTCAGGTTCCTTTCATGAACTCTGGACTACCCTTCTATCACATAAGCACTTTACTTAGCGTAGTTCGACGGAGGAACTTGCTATTAGAACTCATTACGAGGTAGGTTCCCTCGAGTGTATTGGGTCAGTGATCCACATGTAGTGGCTCCTCTTGAGGCCCCATGTGTGTATTCTCCACTGTATTGCCCCTGAGGCTCAGTGTTCCCCTAGACAGACGTTCTCTCTATAGGTTCTGGGTTTTGGTAGATCTCCCCTTACGCGGAGTACTTAAGTACTAATATGTACTTTTAAGGTACTTATATGCACCGTTTAGGGGTAGATAAGGTACAAAGGTGTACCTTTTTCAAAGGTACTGCCCCCGTGACAACTTCTGAGAGTGTAGGTAACTCTTAATGTTATGAAATATGTATTGTATGCATTTTGTAGAGAGAAACAAATTGCATTAAGGCCTTGTTTAGGCTTTTCTAGCCATCTGTTCAGGACTCCGATACAACATTACAGTAGTAAAAAGTTTTTTTTTTGCATGGCTTGCAAAAACAGTTGCATGAACTAGATGTTGCCCTCAAAATATTTGTAATTAGAAACAGAAACTGTTATTGTTCATGTTATTCTTGCGTACCATCATCGGCCTCATCACTGCCGAAGTGTCGTCGGTAGCACAGCATGATCTCCACATTATAGCACTTATAGATGGCTGTGAAGATCCCCAATATCAGCATGATGGCACCCAGACCACCAACCAGCTCCAGCCTGTACACATCTGCATGAGAAAACAGATGACTTCTTTATGACTTAATTCATAAGGTCCAAAGGTATACATGTATCTGATCAAAAACACAGTAAAAACAGTAATATTGAAATAGTATTATAATTTAAAATAACTGTTTTAAAATTAAATTTATTCCTGGCATGTAAACTTGCACTTTCAGTAGTTGAGCTGCTTCTTTTTTTGCCTCATATGTTTTCTTTCTTTCTTTCTTGATTCATTGTGGAAACTGTGATACTTTTTTTCAGGATTTTTTTTTTTTTGATGAATGGAATGTTTAGCTGCAACATTATAAATGTCTTTAATGTTGCTCTTGCTCTTGCTGCTATTGTGTGTTTTGATCAAATAAATTCAGCCTTAGTGAAAAAAAAAAAATTATATATATATATATATATATATATATATAAAACCTTAATTATTCCAAACTTTTGATTGGTAGTGTCACCATTTCCCCCCCTTTAAACTGTCATAAACAAAATGTCACGTCCAGCACATCTCACCACTGAATCACCAATCGTCTGTCTAAAGGATGGATTTATATACAGTATATCTGAGATTTGTTGAGTGTTGTGGTTGATTGAGTGACCATCATTCACAGAGTTTAATGAGCCAAAATGTATCTGCAGCAATATTTACATTACATTTACATTTAATCATTTAGCAGATGCTTTTATCCAAAGCGACTTACAAATGAGGACAATAGAAGCAATCAAAACCAACAAAAGAGCAACAATACAATATATAAGTGCTGTGATAAGTCCTGATTAGTCTAACGCAGTACACATAGCAAGATTATTTATTTATTTATTTATTCAAATAATAAATAAAAAGAATGACAAGTCGATAAAATAGAAATAAAATAGAGAGTGCTAGTGTTAGAGGGTCAAGTTATTGTTACTATTTTTTGTATAATAATTAAAAAGAAAACAAGAATAGAAATAGAATAGAGAGAGCAAGTGTTAGAGAGTCAAGTCTAGATGAAAGCGATGGTTTTTAGCCGTTTCCTGAAGATGGCTACAGACTCAGCTGTTTGGATATGTGAAACACTTCAGAAAAACCAAAAGAAAGGATGATAATGCCCTTCTTTTAAGTGCACAATGCAAGTGAGTTTATGTCAGTGCCTGAAACACTTACTAAGTTACTTGTATGATGTTTGTGAGACAGAGCTGGTTCTGTTTGAGCAGGATAACTGATATGTGCTCAGTGTGAAGCTGTTTTTAATATCTGCTCTTGTATGAGCGAGAGAGTCAGAGTTCAGCCATGTCCATGAGAACTCAGAGAAGAGAGATGAAGACAGCACAAGATAATGAAACATCTCAATCCGGCTGCTGTGTGTTCATCTGAGCACTTCGTGCATGCTGCGTATTACTGATATGAACTATATGGCTCCGCGTTATCGTCCGGGCAGAACTATTGTTCCAGCCACCAAAGACAGATTCACAAATAACCTGCCTGATTTATCTCAACTGCTCCCTTTCTTCTGCAGGACGGCGCTCCCGCTGCCTCGGCCGATGTGGTTCTCCACGTTACAGGTGTAGTTGCCCATGTCCGTCTCCTCCACAGCGTCAAAGATCAGCGACAGCTCCACCTCCTTCTCCCCCAGAAACTCCCGCACCACCCTGAACACACACACATTAGCACACTTTCATGCTATTCATGCCGTGTCTGCAGAATGACGCAGATATGGAAACTTTCTTCATGCATGGAGCATTACATTTGGCAGTATGAAACAGAGCATGCTGCGCAGATCCTGTTTCCCATCATGCTCTTATGTTCGCAGCGTGTCTAATGAACCAGAACATCAGCAGCAGTTTGTAACGTCTCATTATTTGACAGCCAAGGGTTGAGATATTCTTACTTGATATTGGTTTGAGAATGCAAAATAAATGAAACACTGATTTACATTTTTTTTTTTCAACTGCTTACACACAAAATCTTTACTTGTCACATAATTTCTGAAAGCTGACACTCAAACAGCAGAAGCACACACCAAATCTGCAGAACCATACACTAATTCTCAGCCTTTGACTTGCAAAACACAGCACCAGTTCTCTATGTAACACACAAAGATCTAACAGGAATTAATATTATGGCAAAGGTGTTTGCAAATCTTTGCTTTTGAGATGTGTTTGTGATATTTTGAATGAAGTGCTTCATTTAGCAAGAGATGTGAGGCATTTTGCATTTTGTGTTTAATTCTTGGATTTGTGTGTGAAGTTTTGAAAAAAAGAGGCAAAGTTTTGAAAATGTGTGTAAGCAGCTGAAAACGTCAACTGATGTTCATCTAAAGGCTAAACATACAAAAGATCTAAATACACAAGCAGACATGGCTTTAATGAATATACTGAACAGACACGTTTCACATTTCAGTCTGAATATATTCAGATTTTATTCAGAAGGTCTTTGAGGATGAATTGCTCTCTTTAGATCTTGCTCTCATATTTGGATTCACTTTAAAAAATAGAAACGAAGAGGTGAAGCATCCATATAATATTAGTCCTATTAAAATATTCCCAGCATACATATTAATGTTTTATAATCATGATGAGTCATTCTATGCTCAAACATTCATTTATATAAAATAAAAGCACTGGAAAAAGATCAATTCCATCTTTTGAAATGCCATCCTTTCAAAACTTCCTAAAGTTACAATAAAAGCCAGAAACAGTTCTGTTATTATCCAGTGCTCCCTGTCAGTTGTGACATTAAACCAGGCAATTTTCCTGATGAATTCTTTATTCTTTATACTTTATATGTGACACATGAAGAAAGCTCCAGCATGTCTAAGAGTAATAGAAGGGCATTATCCACCTGAAATGAAGGAGTAGCTCATACAGATCAAACAGACATCAAAGGAAGATGAGCAAGGATAACGGCTGACAGTGACTCAAGCATAAAACACGCTATCAGAGGAATTATGTTACAGATCACTGAAACAACACTGCATTTGATTACTGATGTTTAGCTGCCACCGCCAGCACACATTCTTTTAATATTTCTGAAAGAAGTGTCTTTAATGCTGCATTTTATTGTTTCAAAATACTGTACCAACAGAAATATTGTGAAATATTATTATAATTTACTCCATTACCATCTATTTACACCATTACTCCATTTTTTCAGGATAATTTGATAAATATAAAGTTCAAAAGAAAAGCATCTATTGGAAATTGTTTTTTTTGTAACAATGTAAATATCTTTACTGTCACTTTTTAGCAAGGTTTTTATTATTATTATTATTATTTTTTTTTTAACAAATGAGCATGTCAAATAATTAGCAGACGGTTTTGGCCGTCACAGCAGGTCACGTGTAATGTCAGCTACTCACTGAAATGTATTTTCTAAGAACTGTTTTTCTTCTTTCACCTGTACTCTGTAGAGTAATAACTCAAGATGTGTCCACACTCATTCACACCTGTCGCACATCACTGCCTTAACAATATACTGTGTGTGTGTGTGTGTGTATATATATACACAGTATATATAGTGTGTGTGTGTGTGTGTTAGAGAGAGAGAGATCAGGAAGGTGATGCTGGCTTAACAACAGTATTTGGAGAATGTACTGTCAGACATGTTGAATGACAGTGTGTGTGTGTGTGTGTGTGTGTGTGTGTACCTGGTATTTATCATGTAATGGGGACCAAATGTCACCACAAGGATAGTAATACCAGTAAATTTGGACCTTGTGGTGACAGTTTTAGTTTTTTAGTTTTTTGAAAATCTAAAAATGCAGAAAGTTTCCTGTAAGGGGTAGGTTTAGGGGTAGTGGGAATATGAGTGTGAGTCAGGCTTGTGCTGCTGGAGCTCTGGTTCTTGCTGAGTGTAATAGCGCGTCACACTAGGATTAGATGCAGAATTACTTCAGACCATCTGTTTGTGTGGTTTTTGGGAGGGAAAAAAAGCTAATTCATAACATAATTTAAAACGAGTAAATTGGAAGTAGTCCAAAGGCTTTTGTTTTTGTCACATAACTATGGACAACCCTGTTACTTTATCATCGGCATTATTTCCAAGCAGTGCAACTTCATTAGACACAAAGTGAGTGCCTACTATATAGTCATCACTCGACAGAATATATGGACACTTACACCTACACTTTAATGACATTGCTTTCTTTGCAGCTATAACAGCTTCCACTCTTCTGGAGCAGCTTTCCTCATGATTTTGGGGAGTTTCTGTGTGTGTTTTGCACATTCATCCAGTAGATCATTTGTGAGGTCAGACACTGATGTTGGATGAGAAGACCTGGCTCTCAATCTCCGTTCCAGCTCAACCAAAGGTGTTTGATGGGGTCGAGGTCTGCTTCTACACCAAACTCATCCAACCTTTACGGAGCTTGCTTTATGTACTCAGTCATGCTGGAAGAGAAAAGGTCCTTCCCCAAACCGATCCCACAAAGGTGGAAGCACAGCATTGTCTTGATTTCTTGATTTCAAGACATTTTAAGATTTCACTGGAAGTAAGGGGTCCAGCACAGCCCCACACCATTATCCTTCATCCACCAAACTTACATTACCAATGGGTCTGATTGAAACAGATGAATTCAATCATTAAGAGCTGTCTCCCAATACTGTGTCCATATATGAACCCATGGGTTGGGTGTTTTTGCCAGCGTGGCGCCCCATGCGCTGTATATTTTGCATGCCCCACTTTTGCACCCATGTGTATATTTACATTACAAATAATGAATATGATCAAACTGCCTATGATTCCCTGATATTTCCAGGTTTTCACTGACTGTGGGAAACCTTTACTCTTATTGTAGTAATGTTCAGTTGTAATGTTTTCCCTGGGTTCCTCAACCTCACACTTTTCTTCATTTGAGGTCATTCACAAGGATGCATCACTCCTGAATTAAACACAGCACCATCTAGAGGCTCAGAAAAAAAGTTTTTAGCTAAGAGTTTTATCTTAAAACCTATCCACAAAGTTGCTGAGACAAGCTTTTACTAAGGAATAGAGAGAAGTCTTAAACCCAGAGTAAGAGCGGGGTGGATGATGTCAGCATGCTCATTAACTATGCACACAGTGATTGGCTGATAGTCTCTGTCAGAGATTTATTCATAGAACTATTGTAGAGCGTGATATTATGTTGCCATATTCAAATAAAGGTTTAAAAATAAAAATGTAAATAAAGATTTTAAAACGCAGGCTAAGTGTCACTAATTAAACAAGTATATGTTCAGATAATTGTCAGCCTCTTACACGTGTGCTTCTCTTAAACAATTAGCGGATATGCATATAAACAGCCTTTTAATTAACAGAGTAGAATAATCATGGCTGATAGTAAGACATGCAAACGTAAACCAGCTAAAAGAACAGCTGTTGCTTCTTGTCCAGCTGTTTAATGAAAACAAGGACATAATCAAAGGAAAATCTGGAGTGGGGATAACCTCCAAAACCAAAGGCGATATCTTTATAAAAGCTCATTATCATCAAATATTTCTAAAATGTTTCTGTTCTGAGGCAGACTGCTGGAAACAGCTATTTTAGGATAGCTTGTGGCTTGGTTTTTAGTGACTTAGGACTCCTCTTCACTGCTCCTAACCTTTCACAGATTTAGGAGCTAGTTTTAGTGCTCAAACACTTTGTGAAATACTCTTTACTGTGAAAAATTTAGGACTGACACGGACATTATTTTTAAGATTTCTCCTAAATCTGCGAGTTATGAGCTACTTTTAGCCTGAAGATGTTTTGTGAATACGGGCCCTGAACCAGTAATGATTCAAACACATCAAACACTATTGAAAGAACTGAGGACTTCAGACACTCGCAAAACACTAAACACCTGAACATTTTCAGCAGGCAACAAATCACTGACGTCTCTGAGCACAGATATCAGCACCACTATAATATGGCAATGTAACTCAAATCTGCATATTAGAAAAGATATCAAAGATTTGAGTTCCTCAGAAAACAAGGACGGCATGGGGTGGAGAGTGACGTCACTGCCTCGAATTCTGTTTCTTATTTCTAAGAAGGGGAAATATATTTGATGTTCATCGGCACAAATCAGCACTAATCGAGCACAAATGAACTGCGCTGATTTGGAGCAGCTTGGGCAACATGGGGTGGAGAGTGACGTCACACGGTCAAAAAAGAATGTTTAATATCTCAAACAGCAAACCAGCACAAACGTTAGTTTTTGCGGCACAAATCAGCACAAACGTATCACAAATGAATGGCATAGTTTTGGTGATTATTTCTTTTTATGGGGTGCCAACTTCATGGATGTTTGGAATTGAGGTTCATCAGACCAGAGAATCTTTAGGTGCTTTTTTGCAAATACCAAGTGTGTTTTCATGTGTCTTCACTGAGGAGAGGATTGAGTTTGGCCAGATCGGTGGAGTGTTGCAGTGATGTTTGTCCTTCTGTCTCCACATATGATCATGGAGCTCAATTAGAGTGACCATCAGGTTCTTGGTCACCAGTCTAGACAAGGCCCTTCTCAATCAGGAGGCCAGCTCTAGGAAGAGTCCTGGTTGTTTCAAACTTCTTCCATTAAGGGTAACAGACACTACATGCTTCTGTGACCCTTCAATGCTGCAGAATTTTTTCCTGAACTCTTCCCCAGATGTGTGGCTTGACACAAACCTGTTTCTGAGCTCTCATGAGCTAAATTTCAACTGTCCCAGATAAGGATATGAATACTTACGCAATGGAATCATTTAAGTTTTTTGTATTTTTAATAAATTTGCAAAGATGTTAAAAACCTGTTGTTTGCTTTGTCATTATGGTGTATGGAGTGTAGATTGATGTGGAAAAAAAGTAATTTAAAGGAGTTTGAATACTTTTGCAAGGCAATATATGTGTGTGTGTGTGTGTGTGTGTGTGTGTGTGTGTTTGTGTGTGTTTGTGTGTGTGTGTGTGAGTGTATTGTTTTAATTTTGATAATTCATTGCATATTTTTGGCATGTTGTCACTGAAATGAAAAAGGTCTGTTACCTGTAACGCTCAGGTTTTCTACAGAAGAATGAAACATCATCAGCATGCGCTAGTGGTACACAAAGAGCATGATGAATCAGACTTTAGCAGATGTAGTTTTTATGTGTGCTCAAAAAAGTGGAAGCGGTGAAAAAGGAAGGGATAAGAGCTTGAGGTAAGCAGTTTTATGTTTTAGCGCCATGTCATGTTGATTTCATGTCTCAGTTTTATTGGTTGGTCAGTAAACGCGGGTCGTAGCAGCGAACACACTGTGCGATGATCACGCTGTATCGTAGGCTATCTTTGATCACAAGACTGTGATAACGGCCGTCTTTGAAGCTCTCTCACTGTACCACACAGGAGCACTGATTAATCGCCACGATCACAGAAATCACCACGATTGTTTCACGATGCCAGTCTTTCGTCTGGGACAGCCGGAAATCCTGCAGTGTGTTTAGGGCTTTAAAAATTGACCGAATGTAGAAAAAGTTGCAAAACATAAAATGCATTAATTCTTTGGCCATTTAGTATGAGGAACTCACTTACAGAGTGGCGTTTGATGACTGGGGTCTGTCGGCTCAGTTTGATCAGATGATCAGCTGTTTTTGGTCAAAGCATGGCCACTAATGATGACATCACTATTCAGAATGAGTAGATGTTTCAGGCCTGTGTAGAGTTTGTGATTATATAAAACCTGTGTTATGTTTCATCTCAACATTAGAGTGATTCGTGTTCTCTTGGGTGCAGTCTTGGAGTATATTAGCAACTCTGTACCACTTTTCCAAAGTCTTTTTCTAGACAAAGCTCTACATCACTCAGTTTAACTTCAAATACAAACTTATTGAACTTGAATCCAGTATTTTAGCTTTATATAACTTTATTATATCATAACTTTAATATGTTATGATATATTCAGTGTTATCATTGAGATGCCATCATAGATTTAGAAATACTTTGAACAGTTTTTATTATTTTTTTTACATTTTCAATTTTCATTTTAAATTTAGTTAAAGTTTAAGTAATTTTGTGTTGTGTGTTTGCCATTTTTATTAGTTTTTTTAATATGTATAGTTTTTTATTATTCATGTTTAGTTTAAGTTATTTCATTATTAACTTTCAGTTCTAGTTATTTTAGTACATCATTCAACTAAATGAAAAGGAAAAATATTGCCTCGCATTTTATTTCAGTTAATGTTTATTTTTGTTTCAATGAACTAAAATGCATTTGTACGGTTTCATCATTATAACCCTGGTTATATTAAATTATATTATGTTTGATGAAAGCCCAGACCAACTTTAATTGTTAAATTGATACAACAATTTTTAAATATACGTCGATTATATTCAAAAAAGTCCTAAAACTGTTTACAGTGTATAGACAATTTAGTGTCTCAAATCAATCAATCAATCAATCAATCAATCAATCAATAAATCTCAGTGTCTCACAGGTACTGTACATACTGCATATAGTGACTGTATAGTGACTGGTGTTTTGTATATGATACTGTACTGCACACAATAATGTATAGTGCACACTTGAACAGTCTCATGCATGTGTTTCCGGCGCAGCTGTGTGTGAATGACAGCAGATGAGCACACGTTTTGTCCACTAGAGGTCTCTATGTGCTCAGCGGCTGTGAGTGTGTGTTATACAACGCTGCTCTGTTCTTCAGCTCATGCACGCTCATCTGACCACAGTTTATTGCTCTTAATTGAAGTAACGCAGTACCTGACTTCACTCTCTCGTATGTGTCCGTCCAGCTCCTCCACAAACTTATCTCCCTTCATCCAGTAGATGATGGGCCGGGAATCTCCGCTGTAGCCGAAGAAAGCCCTGCAGTCCAGGACCAGACGCATGCCTGTCCAACACAAGCACAACAGACAGCCGTCAGCGTTAGACGGAAATAATGCTCACTTCATCACTCATACACGACCTGGAGCCTTCACAGAACACACACACACACACACACACACTCTAAATGAAGAGATGTGGACACAGAAATGAGTGTTTACTGCTCTGCATCCTCAGCTCACGCTCCTCTTCTCATTGACCTGCTGCAGGAGTGATTGGGAAACTCTGAACAGCACTGCTTTATTTACTGCACCGATCCTCTGTTCTCACGTATGCTGATTATATGCAAATAATGTGTAAAAACCCTTCAGGGCTTTCAGCAGCATTAGCAGCACAGCAGTGAAGAGCTTCCTCTGCCTGCAATTACAGCTTTTAAGAGAGAGAAAGCGGCAGGAGATGCTAATGAACGACCGCAGTGTTTAGTGCTCAACACTTTATCCAGTTCGCTCCAGGAATCAGATCCAGAGCGGCTGAGGCTCACTGTCGACTTCAGCGCTGAAGGAACTGCAGAGGATTTCTCATGCATACACACATCCTTACAGTAGACATCAGGATCAACTCTGCATTTAATCTAAACCAGCTGTGTACTGCACATTTTACAATGTTCTCATTCATTTCAGTCTGAGAGAATCATATCCTCATCTAATGGTCAGAATGATCAAAGTGCTGCTTTAGTTCACTGTTCACTGAAGACAATCAAACAGAAAGCAGAAACTAAACAAAGGACAGCTGAACACATCTCTTTGAACACATGAAACACGGTGTGCAATGTCTCACCTTTCTTATAATAAGTGAAATGGTTTGTTTGAATGGTGTGTGAGTTTGAAGTGAGTGCATCTGTTTGGTGTCGGACTGATGGCAAACAGGAGGAGTGTTCGAGAAACTTGCTTTAAAATTCATTATTTGTATTGTATTGGTTGAGGGATTTGTCTTTAAAGAATAGTTCATCCAACAATGAACGTGCTCACTGTGTCACAGCCATCAGCTGGTGTGCCTATGACCGCCACCGGAGGGCACTCTTCCCGGATCACTGCCTGTGTTCTTCTGGACTTCAGTTCCCATCACCCTTGCACAGACTATCATGCTTCACTGCCTTCAGCTGTTTGTCATTTAACTATTTAGCTCACCCTGATATATACCATGTTCACTCTGTCTTCTGTGTGTTTTTTTGCTGGTGTTGTCTTCTGGATTACCTTGTTCTTGCGCTTTTTTTCTTTTGCCCTGTTTCTGGATCTTTGTCTTGATTACTCATTAAAACTGCACTTGGATCTTATGTAGTCCCAGAGTGTTCCGTGATATCCTCAGGTCATCCGAGATCAGGATGAGTTTGTTTCTTCATCAGGTCTGGAGAAATGTAGCATTGCATCAGTGTCTCAGCAATGGATGCTCTGCAGTGAATGGGTGCCGTCAGAATGAGAGTCCAGTCTTATTTTGGATTATAGACTCATATTTTAGCTGGAAGTGACAGTTAAAAATGTCTTAATGCTGGATTTGTTTCAGCTTTTTGTGTTCTCCAGATGTTAGCTGATGGACTGGAGTGCTGTGGATTACTTGTGGATTATTGAGATGTTTTTATCAGACTCTCATTCTGACGGCACCCAGGCCCGAGTGTGAGTGCATTTTCATGTTTGGGTGAAATACTCCTTTAACTCTGTGCACATGCTGGCATGAATGATATTTCAAATCATATCTAGGAGGGACTGTATGTAGAGAGCAGAGCAGAAACAACACCCTAGCGAACAACCAGAACAACCTACAGCAGCAGCAAAACACACATTTACTCAGCTATCTAAATGGGGACATTCCATAGGCGATGGAAAATATGGTTACGTAGATGCACGCTCACACACACACACACACACACACACACACACACGCTCGCTCACACACACACACACACACACACACACACACACACACACACACACACACA